TGAACATTATGTGTGTGTGTGTGTGTGTGTGTGTGTGTGCAGGGGAAGGCAGGATGGAGTGACTTGGTACTTGTATTTCTTGTGGTTTTACCATAATACTGGCCTATAAAATGTGAACTGCTCTGCAACTGCAGAGATCATGGCTCTCTTGGCACTACTTACAGACGTTAGAGGTCTTGAGGTACAGGGGCTTGTCTTCTACCTCTAAATAAAAGTTTGGATTTGTTATGTGCTCATCCTGTGCCTCACTAAAAAGTAGCAGTGACTCTGTTCTCCTTTCCCTAGAGAGCTGCCTCTTTTCACATCTTTGGTTCTGTCAGACACCCCAGTTAAATCCAGTGCCTTGTTAATGAGATCTGCTTTAATGAATGAGCCTTTCCTCCTTCCTTGTATGAAGGTTTCAAATGAGCTCACCCGTGAAGGAAGTGTGGAGAAGGGTAGGTGGCTTAAGCAGGAGCACAGACGACTGCAATGGGACCCAAAAGCTGTAACACAAAGCCAGGCAACTTTTCCCTCAGAAAAAGGTTTAAGAAAGAGACAGATGAGGCGTAATTGAGACAGGAGGATGTTGATTTCATGGTTTATTGTCACATTAAAAAAGTAATCTTACTGATGAATTAATATTTGCTTTTTAATATAAAAGTGCTTATTCTTACAAATCCTTAAGGCTCATTCTGTTACATTACAGTAGGATTTTTCACCATCCCAGAAACTGTGCTACATGAGTTTTATATGAACTGTGGACATAGCAAAATCTCCAAACAGTAAAACAAGTCATCAATAATTTCATTGCCTTTGTACGCATGAACCTGTTTAATTGTGTAACATAATTTTACCTGAAAACAAACAAAAGCAAAATTTTCTCATATTTTCTAGTTTGAACTGATCCCCAAGAGATTTCTATTTTGCTTGAGCTAATGGAACAAATACAATAGTTTTTGAATCTCAATTTTTCACTTGTACAGCAAAAAGGAAGGAGTGAGACAGAGAAGCATTACAGATGTAGTGTTTATCCTATGTTTCTTACTAAAGAGAAAAGGAATGACTACAAAGCTCAAGTACTGCTCATATGTGATATATTTATTTTTATAATGTCCCTATGTTGTACTTTTATGTAGGTAAAGCTCCCACTGAAGCCAATGTGAGTTTTGCCTGAGGGAGGAATAAGACCAGGGCTCTCATGGGGAACATTTTAGATTAAGTAGTTTATTATTTTTTGTCTCACGATGGAAGAATGAAATAGGTGAAAGTTGCTAAAGCTCTTGTTTGTATTGATCACAAGTGGAATATGATTTCTGGCATATACTATGATACACAGATAAGAGTATACCGTATTTATTTTTAATCATAATCAGAGCTATATTAGTTGGATGGCCAGTGAATTTTCTATTTCTACTTGAATTTTAGATATCTATTTACTGTAAAGACTTTTTTTTTTTGGTCAATAATTGGGTCAAATGCATTAACTAAAAAAATACCTAATGCAAAAGATAAAAATAATTTAAGGTGTTCTGGAGCAAGGGGGAAATGCTAACTGATCTAATAAATAAGGCAGTTTAAAGCATCTGTGACTGCTACAGTGATATATGTACATAGTTTACAGCATAAATTACTGTACAGAATACTCTGTTTATTAACCTGTGTAAACAATATTGTCTGCTGTATGGGGACATATTGTGGGATTATGGTCAGTGAAAAGATAAACTGCTGTAGCTTTGGCTAGGTGGGGGAGACCTTGAGTAGCACACCCTCAGAGAGAAACATGAGTGATATTTTATGAGTTGCAAATAAAGCCATCCTGACTCGAATAATTTCACAAAAAAAATCTGCTGACGTTTGTTGCTATAAACGAAATATGGAAATGAATCTCTGCAATTTGTTACAAGAATAATTCTTGTCATAAGCTGATCTTTGCATACCTCATCTGGCCAGAGACCCTTGCTTAGAAGTTCGCTGTGTGAAAAGGGGAGGTTGGGAAGAGTCGCAACGTGCCAGTATCCCACCGTGCGCCGTCTGCACTGCCAGCATGCCCATCAGGAGGATGGTTGGTGGCTGGACCCCAAACTGGGACCGCCACATTGCCTTTTCAGCCACTGGTGCTATGTGCAGCATGGGAAATGGGGAGGGAATTAGGTCTGCAGCGATTATTGCAAATGGCTGGAGAAGTATTTTAGCATCCTGTTATTTTGACTGCCTTGTACTGTCTTCCCCACCCATTTGTTTCCCTCACCCACCCACAGCGTGGTTTGGTTTTGGCCTCTGCATGGTGGCAGATCCATGGAAGAAAGTCTATGTAGGATGTCTACCACAACATGGACCTGGTCAGCAGACACCACCAACCACAGTCCAGGTTTCCATTAATAACGTGCCCAGGAAGACAGGGAGTTGACGTAAGCAGTAAGTGTGTGTGTGTGCAGGCATGATTTGTCACACCAGTTATGGTCTCCATCTGCCATGCTCAGCACGGAGCGGTGTCCCTGCACAGGAGGACCAGGGGTTAGCCTCAGGCTGCCTGGAGAGCAGCTCTCACACTGCCTGGCTCCTCTGCCCCGGGTCCTGCCCCTCCTGTTGCTGTCTGTGGAAAGAGACAGCCTACCAATGGCACCGCAAGCACACCTTAATCTGGCTGCTCTGAACCTCTCAACACAACCCCGCTCCTTCTGCCTCCACTGACAGCAAGGGACACTGCCTTGGCCAGCCCTAGGAACTGCCATGCACTGGTGGTCTGCAGGCAGGCCATGAGATTTAGGTGGTTCTGTGGGGCCTACAGGCTGTTCATCATGGATAAAACTGTCACTTTTACATAATGAATTGAAAAATGCTGTAGAAATTCCATAAAAAATAATAATATAGGCCTCGTGGGCTCACAGCCAATCTCATCTCTTTCGTCATCTACAGAAAAAAAATGTTTCTTCTGTTTAAAGGAAGCCAGCTCTACTTCCAGGCGACACATGGAAAAAGTGCCTGTGAATGTTTAGCAAACTGTAAAATATATTTTCTTGATGTTTCAGTAATCCCAGTAGAAGAAAGGTGCATATTCAGTCCTTTTGGAACTATTTGCTTCTTTGGATTTGGGCCTGGGGAATTAGAGAGTGGGCAAGAGATGCTCCAAGTCTAAAACTTATGCTTTAAATATCTCAGAAATAAATGTGTTTAGTGCATACCTGTTTTCCTGCATATCTGCTCCCTCCCAATGTGATCTCAGCCCCATCCCGCATCAGCACATCCTAAGATATTTACCAGTTTCAGCAGACACTCTCGTTAGCAACAGGTATGATTGTAAACCTGGGGTGGGATTTATAGCACCTCTGTAGCTGACCTCATCACCTAAATTCCCTTTGTAGCCACTGGACAGAAACAAGCACTTCTAGGGTGTGATTTAGTGTGCTTATTTTACACCTTCAGTACAAGATGGAGTGAATCCCAACTTCTGTGTTTAAATCAGGACCTTTTTTCTCTTCTATTCCACCTTCTCTTGCTATTTAACCCCAGTGAATTGTTACAAGGCTGTTTATTGTCCTCAAGAGCCTGAAAAAGGCTCTGAAAAATCAGTAACACAATGTCAGGCAATGGTGCTGGGCCAGGAAATGCTGCGTAACCCCTCCAACTACACTGCTGTTTTACATGGGGTATTTGAGGCACCAGCACTAACGGCTTTTGATCCCCAGATTACTGGTCTCTCCCATCCGCCTTCCGATGCAGAGAAGAGCTGCTCAAAAATTGTGCATGGAGTCATCAGCACTCCCTGTCTCTTCCTCAGGAAGGAACTGAGCTCTCTTGCTTGGAATAATGGGAGATGGTGGGTGTCAGTCTCACAGGTGGGGTGGGAATGAGAAGAAAGCAGATAGGTCCTGAGCTGCTTGGAGCAGCTCTGCGCTGCCCTCCATCTTTTTTCCTATGAGAATTTAATCTCTACCTTGTCTTGTATGTCACAAGTCCAGGCTGGGAAGTGGAGTTAAGGAAGAAAATGTCTAGAACTGCAGGAAGAGCTGACTGTGGGACCAAGAAAGCAAAATGAAAGGCTGAGGAGGTAAAAAATTAATTACTGTATTGATCATGACACAAATTAGCTATGCGTGATTTGCTGGGGGAAGCCATAAGTCGCCATCTTCTCGTATAGCACCTTATGCAAATGGAAGATGGACTTGTTTGTCACAGGTGAAGACAGATCCCAAAGGGACCTTGACATCCAGAGGGACCTTGATAGACTTGAGGAGAGGATCCGTGTGAACCTTCTGAGCTTCAACAAGGCCAAGTTCAAGGTCCTGCAATCAATATAGATGGGGGATATACTGATTGAGGGCAGCTCTGCAGAGAAGCACTTGGCGGTACAGGTGAATGAAAAGCTGGACATGACTCAGCAATGTGCATTCACAGCCCAGAAAGCCAACCATGTCCTGGGCTGCATCAAGAGAAGTGTGGTGAGCAGGTCAAGGGAGGTGATTCTTCCCCTCTACTCTGCTTTTGTGAGACCCCACCTGGAGTACTGTGTCCAGCTCTGGGGTTCCCAGCATAAGAAGGACATGGACCTGCTTGAGTGGGTCCAGAGGAGGGCAGTGAAAATGGTCAAAGGACTGGAACACCTCTCCTATGAAGAAAGTCTGAGAGAGTTGGGGTTGTTCAGCCTGGAGGAGAGAAGGCTCCAGGGAGACCTTATAGCAGCCTTCCAGTACTTAAAAGGGGGACCTACAAGAAAGATGGGGAGGGACTCTTTCTCAGGGAGTGTAGTGACAGGACAAGGGGTAATGGTAGATTTAGATTACATGTAAGGCAGGAATTCTTTAATGTGAGGGTGGTGAGACACTGGCACAGGCTGCCCAGAGCAGCTGTGGCTGCCCCCTCCCTGGCAGTGTTCCAGGCCAGGTGGGACGGGGCTTTAAGCAGCCTGGTCTAGTGGAAGGTGTCCCTGCCCATGGCAGGGGGGTGGAACTAGATGATCTTTAAGGTCCCTTTAAGGTCCTAACCATTCTGTGATTCTATGATAAATCTAAACTGCAAATGAAAATACCCTTTTTCAATACAAATATTTTTCAAAATGAAAGTGAGAAAAAGACTAAGAAGGGCCTGTTCTTTGGTAAGTGTTATCCATGTCTAGCAGGAAGTGTTTCCTTTCATGTCTGTTGACAGGGTGAGAATTCCCTATCTAAGAATGCCAAATGGAGGAGGAAAAGGATAACTAGCACTAAGGAAGGAAGGATTTGTTAGTATTGCCTGAATAACACGACAGCAATAGAAACATTTTGTTGATTTGACTGGTGTTCAGTCCTTGGCGAAGTGCTTTATTGATGACTTCTAGAAGTAATGTGTCAGAACAGAGCTGGGAGTTTGACCAGGGGATGCTGGCTAACAATGGTGTCATTTGGGGAAGTAACTCCCTGAACATTGTGCTCCCAACATATCTCTGACTTCCCAGCTCAGTTACTGGTAATATGCTTCACAAACCAACACAGACTTAGTTAAGAGAGCAACAATTATTTTTATGTTTCATTAAGCAACTAGTCCTCTCTGCAATGCACCATTCTGAAAGAAAATTTCCATTGATTTGCAGTTATTTGAAGCTAGATTTGGAATCACAAATAATTTGAATAGTTCTGAAGCTGTTAGGAGAAACACACTTGGCTCAACTGGGGAGGCAAATTGCTTTCACAGAAATATAAAGTGGCTCAAAGACATAAAAAGATTTGAAATTCTTAGGATGGCTACACGCACTCAGTTAACCTGTGCTGTTTGTCCCCTTATGTACTGTTGGGATTCTTGCTCACTACCAGGATCAAAGTTATAGATACTCTGGGAAAGGCAATTTTGCCTAGGCTGTGACTCCCCTCAGCACTAAGCACAAGTTTTATATACTCTAGCGTTTACATTGAGAGCTTACATGGTATTTAAGGATTTTGAGGGTCTTGTAGCTCTGGACTCAGGGGTGAAATTCATCCAGTGTACTTAGCAGTTTTTTCCATAGCTCTTCTACAGCACTTTCCTTCTGAGGATACAAAGTGATTTGCAAACATTAATTAATTCTCATAAAGCCCTATGAGGCAGATAAGTGGTAAGTATCCCTGTGTTAGTACATATGAGAAACATGAGACTTGAGTGCCTTATGATCCATGCTGTTCTCTATATTCACTCCCAAAAAGGAATATGTGCCTTGGGACAGAGGAAATCCCCACTTTTTGTCATTCTGATGTTTTCCTTGAACCCTCTGAAGTCCTTCAAGGGCAGCAGGCATGAGGCTGGGATTCAAGCTACAGCACGTGAGCTACACAGATCAGAAAAGAGAGGGAGACTTGCTGTATTTGCTGCTGGTTTTGTGGGGGAAAGCAAGGCCCTTTATGCATCCCGTAGGTTACTTGCTCCGTGCTCCAGCAGCCTGTTTGAAAGGTAGCTTGGGCTGCCAAAGTAGATAACACCCCTGAAAGTGCAGGGCATACTTGTGGACTACCAAGAGCAGTAGAGCCAGACAGCAAGTGTAGGCAGAGGAATTACTTGAAGTAATAGCCCCAGCTGAATCCTGCCCATCTCACTGAGGTAAAGCATAGTCTTTTGAAAGAATGATGGAGCCTTGGATGCTCCAGATCTTAGTGCTTTTCTTCTCTGTAGCTTTTGTGAGGTAAGCACAGAGCCTAAAGTGACTTTCTCAGTTTGGTAATTAACCTTAAGAACAATTTACAGTATGGCAACCAATAACACTGGAAATGGAGCCTTGGCCTTATTGAGGGCAAATGGCAGCTTTATGAGAGGCATTAAAGTAGCCAAATTTTCATGCTAATAATATTGGGTGAGAGACATTGGTCTCCGGTTTTTGCAACAGACTCGATGTAAGATTATCCAACTGCTTTTCAGAATACATTCTGACAAATTTATCTATGGTTACATGCCTTCCCAGCCCTCAGTGCATAGCACATAAGCTAATGTAACAATTATAATTATGATAGTGATCAGACCTACCAGGCCTTTTTAAGATGAAAAATCAGACTAATTCTCTAGTTTCAAACACAATGAGTTCAAATATGTGATGTAAATGCTAACAAAAAGAAACCAAAATGAGAAGCATGTTAGGTCTGCACCAGCCAAGCTTCTATTGTTATCTTAACAAGTCCATATTCTTCAGGCATTGTTTGTATTTCTATTGTACAAGGAGATTTTATTCTTTAGTTTGAGGATTCTCCCTGGATGGGGGAGGGAAATGTTGCTATCGCTGTGAAAAAGAAACATTTCTTTCTGACATATTAAGCATTAAGAGGATTACATAAAGGCAAGGCATATTGCAGAAGGAGATGTTCTTAATATAGCTTTTACCATGAACCCATGACCCTCCAGAAAATTTAGGAGAGTTAAAAAACCTATTGCTTTGACAATCTTTTCATTAAAAAAAAATCTTGTAAAAAGATCAAGGAATTCATCCACTGTTATTTACATAAAATTCAACTTTTCCTGCTCAAAATCATGAATCATTTAATGTCACATCTGCAGGATAACTGATGCAGATGCCATTAATCCAAGTCATTTCACAAATTCCAATTTCATTTGGATTAAAACCTACAACTAAATCAGTGAATAATATATACTGTACATGCGTTAAGGCTGGTGACTACTAAAGTCTCTTGGGTAGATAAACTAAGCACAGATTAGCCAGGTCTAAGTATATGTCCTCATTTAGGGAAAAAAAGATATCCTGACATTTTAGTGATATAGATGTGAATCAGTAGCCATGAAAAATGGTTGAACATTTGTATTACAAAAGAGATACTATGGCACAGTCCCAAAGGTGCATTTCTTATAAATTAATTAGCTGCACAAATTATTTTGATAACAGTTACTGCACTTCTGAGGTGATATGGCTGCTCAATGATGAGTACTTGATGATCAATGGTAGGCACTAGTAGTATCCTTCATGCTGAGTGACTTTTATTACTATTTAGATTTACAGTATATACATACGTGTTTGTATCTACACTTAGGGCTTGATCTTCTAACCTCCTTTACCTAAGATCCTCTGTTCACTGTAATATCTTCCTTTGGAGCCTGATGATATTTGGATACAAGAAACAGACAAACAAGGGGTTGGGGTATCCTGCCATGCGACAGGGAGGACTACTATGCTTGGCTTTTGGCCACACTTGAACCTCTGCATATACTTTGTTCTTACCTGTCATTCATGCCACCATGGAATACTATAAAGGATTAAGGCCAAGGGGTCTGTATAATCTTGCTGTCTTTAAGGATTCTATAGGCTGCTCTGCATTTGTTGCATGCACCTGCAATACATGGTTCCTTTGAATCCATTCCCACTGCTTTACCAACACTGATTCAGAAGCCTCTGTTTGTAAGCAAACCTCTCCCTCTAGGCATAATCCTGCTGGATTTGTATAGAATAACTTTGTACTTTCACAAAATGAACCCGAACATTGCTGTGGTGTAAAGAAGCCTGCACATTCCTGGACTTTTACAACAGATTAACCAAGCCAGCATCATTCATGGAACCCTAAAGAAGGATAGTCTCCTCTGGTCCCATCCTGAATTTACAGAGCACCTTCAACTCATGGTGAAGTGCCTAAAACTATGCAGGGTCTTAACATGGAGCACACGCTTAATTGGAGCAGACCTAAAAGCCACATGCACTTTTCCAGACCAGGCCCTAAGAAGACGAGATGAAGTATTTGTTGTCATCATGCCACATTCAGTCATCTAAACAGCAGCAACCATATACAGCATATAGGCTGCACAGAAGAGTATTCTATTCTAAATAACCTCACAAAATAGTGTAGCTGAAAAAAACCCTGTGGAGACACCAACACCTCTTATTCATTTATATGTCTAGTTGGTTTAAATGGCTGCTATCTCGTCCTGTTACACCACCAGAAGTTAAGGCTCAGTGTGCTCATCAGACAACACAGATGATGCCAGCACAAAAACTAAAAACCAGTGTGTTTTTCCATGGAAGCAATGGGTATTTTAGCTGGAATAATTCAATATAAGAACCATGTACAAGAAATGACAAACATCTACAGGAGATCCTTAGTACTTAGAAATGTTACAACAGGACAGCATTAATTCTTGCATTTCTTTGAAGTTTCTTGACATATTACATGCATACAAAGAGTTTATCATGATTAAGAAAAATATCCCGATTTTAGTAAAATAAACATGCTTCAAAGTTCCATATTTGAAACTCAAATGCCACATGTGCAATAAAACTAAACTCCATTTAAGGCAAGTAATATATGTCACTTCTAAAATTTCTCAACTTTAAATAGCAGTAAGGGCTCCCAAACCCCCAAACTTATCTGAAGATAAACATCATAGGCACCATCAAAGAAAACAGAAGCTAATCTAGCTGGAATTTCACTTTCCTGATCTGAGGAGAAATCCCACAGTACATTGTATGGTATTGAAGCAGCTGACAGAATCTGTTGCTACTAGTCTAGTAAATCATGACAGACTTCTACAGTCAGAGATCAGGCAAGTGCTAAACAGAAAGGCACCGATCAAGTTCTCCACGATACTTTTGAACAAACAAATTGTGTTCCTTCTGGAGCAGGTAACAGCCAGAGTTAAGAGTGATGGGAGGACTTGGAGAATGTATATTTTGCCATTTAAAGGCAGGTCCATGTTCACTCTTAAAGCCATCCACACTGTAACCCATGCTAAGAGGTGACTACAGCCTGAGCTCAGGACTTCTCTTGGTGAGGAAGTATCTGAGCACCAATGGGCACATAAATATTGGCCCAGGATTGGCTTGGGGCTGAGCAGTTAGTTCCTAGGTAGCTACCCCGCTGAGCTGCTTCGAAGAACGAGGTGAATGCTCTGAGTCTGAGCAACAGTTAGAGTTATGATAAGCAGCCTTGACAAAAAAATGAAGGTATGTGGGGCTCAGTGTGCTCTCAAGCTCACTCTTTACCACAGGGTACATACAGCCTGTGTTAACGAAGATGTTTTACTGAGAAAACGTGCCATATTGTTTGCTATCTTTTTTTTCAAAATGCAGCTCTTCAAAAATGGGGAGGAAATAAAAGACAGCAAGGACCAATCAATCAACCATCAGTATCAGTGACTACTTGTATATTCTATTGAAAGAGTCTTTTGTACTCACATTTCTTTAATATATAAGTAAATTAGATTAGAAAACAACAACTAAAGGGTCTAACCAGTGACTCGGACAAGAACAGTCCTTTTGAAAGTCACCAGAACTGCTGACTTGAGTAAAGGTTGCAAATCTGATTGTAAAAAAATTATATTTCCAATACAGAAAAAGAAAACTAAATGTGTGAAAACCACTGAAAATGAACAAAAATGAACTGAATTTCAGAAAAACTGAAACAAGCACAGTTGATGTGAACCGGCCTTGACCCCAGCTGACCCAAATTAAACTCCAATTATTGTGGGATTAATTCTTCTGGCATGAAAAACACAGCCTGTCAACAGGAACTGAAAGCATCCCATAAATCAAGAAATGTTAAAGCCTAATTGAGGATTATGCATGAAGAGTGAGAGGATTATGATAGGAAACAGTTCTTAGTCTGATGAGCAGCAAACGCAGCTTCCCAGAGAAAGGAAATTGCATGTAATGCTCCCATACAGCCCAGAAGAAAATGCTGCAAGCTTCTGCTAGATGAAAAAGATATGAAAGTCAAAATCTGTGGGATGAAGCCTTCCTGTGCAAAGCCAACAACTGTTACAGACACAGAGACACTCTGTCTCTGTCTCTACGCAGCTGAAATGAACACATTTTCTTTACTAAGTGGACTGCAGTTTGCCATATATTTTCATTTATCTATTTACTGTTAGTAACAGAATGCAATTTTCCACCATCTCTTTTAAGTTCTTGCTATCCGCATATCTGTTTTCAGGCTTTTTGCTTGATACTGTAGGTTATACCGTTGGTGAGGAGCTGAACAAGAGGTAAAGTTATTTAAAAAGACAGGAGATAAAGGAATGCATGCAATTTGTTGAAAATTATTGCACATGAAGGAATTCCGTCTTTCCCCAACTTAATGCGGACTACACAACTCCTCTGTGTGCCCCAGTGGGGAAGTAATAGGGAGATGGCACATTAAAATTGAAAATTCTGTGACGTGTCCATGCTCACAGTAAAAGTTCTCCATGTCTATGATTTGCCCTCATTTATTCCAGTTCAGGAAAGCCCTCATGTATGTGCTTAAGCTCTGCTGAAGTCAACAGGATTTCAGTACAGGCTTAAAGTTAAGAATCTATTGAGAGCTTTCCTGAATAGGGATCTGTGCTTATTGCACTTGCAATCAACCCATGAGATTTTGGTTTCTGAGTTTTTCAGCACAAGAATACAAAGGGTATGTTTTGTGCATTAAGATCAGTTCTTTCTGGTATTTCTAGTGTATATAAATGTTTGGAGAGTGGTACAGAACAATTAATTCTGAAGAGACATCATTGTATCTTGTACATAAGCACACATACAGGTCTACACTCAGAAAAATTTTGCTCAATATTGAAGAAATATTCACCTTTGTTTGGATCAATGCTGTGGTTGACTATTTCTGTAGCACAGTGTCCAGAATAACTGAATTATCCATGAAAGGTATACTGTCCATGTGAATGGCACACAGTCATTATGACAAGTGAGCGCTATTTCGCACCCAGTGAAGTCCTTGTTGAGTGTACTGAACTAAATGCTCCATACTGCTGTGCAAGGTGATAGGTCCCATCAATGCATCCAAGTCGTTAAAAAAATCTACAGGGGAAAAAAAAAAATCAGCATCAGAAGAGCGAAGCTGTATTTGCTACTTGTCACACTTTAATAGATTTTATTCTCTTGCAAATTGAGTCAAGCTGAACATTTCAGGGGAATGAAAGTTTAGTGCTGGTGAGAGTAATTGTAAAGTCCTGTGGTTCATGATGTTACAGGCTGACGTACAACAAATTTTCTTTTTAAAGAACAAAACAGTGAGTTCTTCGGCTTTGCTTTCATTAATTTCCATTGAGTCCTGATAAAGCAAACATGCTGGGCAAGTTTTATTTTGAGATTAAGAACAACTAAATCAAAAGGTCTACACACAAGTGTGTATCTATATACATACGCTAGATATCTAAGCTACCGTGACAGATAAATAGAGGCCTGTACAACATGGTCATCCCAGCCTGAAGAGTAATTTAGCTAGCTAGCCACTAATGACTGAATTCAGTTGCCTACTTAGAAGCATGTAGTGCCCAATTGAGATGCCCTCAGGCAGTTGATACATAACAGCCTGGACTGGCAGATCTAACACAGGATGTACAGGAGACTTTCTGGAGCGGCAGTATTAGGTAAGGATACCTCAAGTGGCATTTGGCCACTGTGGCTGGGCAACTGAATTGTATCCCCGTGTCTCCTTCAGGGTGAACTGAACAACTCTCTGAGTTCTGCTGTTTGTTTTGAACAAAGCTCCATCCAACTCCTGTAATGGGAGATTAGCCCCCCATCTATACACACCTATACTCGATTTAAATCCTGCCCATGTCCCTGCCTTAAATACATAAATTAGCTTGAAAACCAAGGAATACTTTATCATCAAGTCAGATGCTCATGGAAACCGGTTCAGCTGAGAGAAGTTTGCTGTGAAGAGGGAGTGAGGCACCTCATTCCCATCTGTGTCTGCTCAGATGGGGGAAGGGCTGGATCGGCTGTTCATTCCTTCTGCAGAAAGGAAGTTGTGTGCTCCTGACTTTTAATGCATCCTGTCCAGCTCCACAACTTTGGGGGGCAGGAAGCTGCCTTGCCCCCCACAAACCTTTCTCTCCTGAATGACATAGATGGCAAAGAATGCTACTAACAGCTCTGTCTGTGACCTGTCTGTCACTAGTCCTGACCAGCCAAATAAAGACAAAGATTAGATGCTTCTGAGCAAGACAGCTATCAAAATTGCCTTTTTGGAACAGACTAGGAGTGTACTGAAGAAAAAATCACCTCTGCAGCCCTACTTTGCAGACAGGATTCCTATCAAAATAGCTATTTTCCTGACCAAAATCATGTGTCAGTCTTCTAGAATAGTCCAGTGCCTTGACTCACTCACCTTTGTTTTCCTTAGCCAGGTTGTCAGCCATCTCCCAGTAGTCATAGCTGTGTAGGATGCTGTTGGTGATGCTGACGTGGTTGGCAGCCATCTGATGAATGCGCTGCGGGATGCTGATGATAGGAGATGGGGAAGGAGCCCCCGTGCTCCCTTGGGATCCTACAGAGCTGACTGGAGAAGGGCTAGGAGACATGGGTGATGGAGTTCCTGTGCTCCTGGAAACAGGTATTAATACAGTTACTTAAAAGGTGCTGGGTTTAAAACCATGGGATCATCAGAACATATTGTAGGTAAAAAATATAATTTCTGACTGTCAAGATCATCTAAGTTTCTGTGTGACTTACTTTCCACTGGCACCCCAAGGAGATGGGTTCTGGGCAGCTTTTGATGAATTCTGTAAAGGAAAAAATATTTCACAATACATATAATTTATATAAGACTATGAAATGAAGAACATTAAACAGTATAAAAGGAAAGAAATGTAAAGAAAAAATTGTGCAAATAGAAGTATTCAAATCTCACGATACAATAAACCCACTCAACCTGATTTGGTGTTGTGATGAAGCAGTACTGCAGCACAGACTCAAATCACAGACTATTAAGCACCCTGGGATGGGGCCTGATTAGAAAAGCATGTTAATTGGAACGGAAACTTTTCATAGGAATCCTAGGAGTTCAAAAGAAAGTGCTGCCAGGACTCTTTGTGAAATTTAGTCTGGAATTTCTTGTGATAGAGAAAACCAGGAGGATTTCCTCCCACTCTCCTGCCCCCAAAGACAAATATCTCCTAGCACCTGCAAGAATGAAGTCTGCTCAGCCTGGTGGACCACAGGGATGTGAGTCTGAGGCTCCCTCAGCTCAGGTGAATGTTTTAACCACCAGGCTCAAGAATTTCTCTCACATTTGCTCCTCTTCGAGCTGTTCCCCTTGGTCTGAATATGGCAGCATCCACAGAGCCAGAGAGACTGCCCTTGTAGACTGGTGGTTTTCTAGCTGAAGCGTTCCCCAAAAGGGCATATTAGATCATTTAGTGTGATCTCTTGTTTACCTGCAGTCATTAAGTCTCTCGCTGGTATACTGTGTTTATGCTAAAGAAGTTAATTGCTTGAGGAGAGACAACCTTGTACAAACACTACATCTGCCAAGCAGGAGAAATTTGGGTGTCCGCAATAATGGAAAATGAATAGCTAAAATGATTCTGGTAGTTAATCTGTAAGAGCTGGGGGGAATTTACTGGCAAGTTCCTGCCCATTTGACCTGTGGAAAAACTCCCTCCCTCTCCTAAATGCAGTGACTGATTTAATCCTGGGCCTGTGAGAATGAAGGATGTAAAGAACAGAAGTCTAAGAAACATCCCAGCCATAGCCTCATATTCAGAAATGGCCACTCTCTGATTCTTCAGAGGAAGGTGGCCTCCTTGCACTCTCCCCTGAAACCATACATGCAGATAATTGTGTGCTGGTGAACAACCTTCCCTTCCTGACAGCCACAGGAGACCGAGTGAAGTCCTGCAGCTCAAGATCTGTTTATGGATATTGTTTAAACGCAAGGCTGCAGGTGTTGCAAGCTGCAGGAGTTACAAGTATTAACAGCAGTACAAAAATTCTTGGTCTCCCATGGCTTGGGAAGGAAAAATGATAAACAAGGGGCTTCAGAGCTTCATGGATTTCAAGGCTAGGAGTAATCCCCCAGGACACTCTGTCTGCAATTACCCTTTTTCACCAATCATGGAACTTCCAGCAGAAGCAAAATAGCTTTTAAAATTAATTTTATTATTTTTAAAAAGGATAACTAGTCATATAGAAATGCTAGGACACTATTCATTCTCCTTGTTCTCTTGTGTCCTGTTCTGATGGTTAGGAGGCCTCACAGTTAGAAAAACAGATTCTGTTTCAGGGTTTCAAGATTGAATTTCCTTAACTTCAGTGCTGGCTTTTGGATTTTATTGGCCCAACACCAGCAAAAATGCATGTTGCCTGGTATTATCAGCTCTGTTTCCATATACACGAGGATCACATCCTCTCTTAACCTGTTCTACAGTAAGTTCAACACACCTCCTGAGCTTCTCTTCAAAAAATTGGTTTTCTCAGTTTTGATGTGTCCTCTGAACTGTCACTTGTGTTCCCACATCTTTCACATGCACACCAACACTGGCTGTATTTTAGCAGTGATCACATCAGCGCTGTGTGTGCCCTGGCATTCTTCCTGCATTTTGACACTGGGCCTTCTATGTCCCAGGTAAGTGGTATGAAAATAAGCCTTGGAGTGTCCCACAGGACGTTCTTCCTTCAATGAGTTTTCTTTTTCTTTTTTGGCAGGAAGGGCTAAGGTGTGAAAGGAAAAAAATTAAGTTCTCATTTACTGTCCTAAATAGAACCAACCTGGGAATCTTTGGCGTTTGCTTCTCTTACAGAACAGTGGTGTGTGGTTTTTTTTTTTGTTTTTTTTTTTTTTTCTTTTGTTTTCTGATTTGTGTCAGAACTACTGGCCTTCATCTTTCTAGTGTAATGGAAACTGAGTACATGTTATTACAGAGTTGGAGCCAGAAAAATATTAAAATCAAAGTGGAGAGTCAAGGATACTTTCACTGTAAATGTAACCAGCCTCTGCTTTACTGTAGGACTTCCCACACCTTTTTTCTCATTCTTTAGGTATATTACTGCAGCTTCCTCTCAGTTCTGCACCAAAAAGGTGGGGGTAAAGATTCTAATGAGTGTAATGTTGTAAGGGACCATCTCTTATCCACTTAGCTTACTGCTACCCATTCGCCTGATTTCTTTCTGCTCTCAAATGTGTCCGGCCCTTGAATATCTGTGGCTTCTTTTTAATTCTCTGTTGCTTTTTTTTTTTAATAATAGAAATAAAATACTTAAAAAAGAGATTTAAATAATATTTTTTTCTTTTCTAAAAGAAAAGTGTGTCTAATTTTCCCTGCAAATGTGTGTGACAAAGTTTAACATCTTTCTTTGATTGATAATATATGTGGAAATTCTTAATGCAGTCAGCATTTCACGTCACTTGGTTTTGAAAGCTTTTAGATACCAAATATGAAATGAGTGGAGAATTGGCTTGTTTTCCACTGAAAATTATAGCAAATGGATTTTTTTTTTCCATTTTTACTTTCAAAGGTGAAAATACTTTCTAATCTGAAACTATGCTATCATTATATCAGCAGGAGCTCTGCAAAAAAACAAGCTCCTCTTGGCTATAGCAGAGTATAACTCCATTTTATGTTTGCTGTGAAACAGTTTCTGTCTGCTAGTAGGAGACGTTTTACATGGTTGAGAGCCTGACCATCCTGTTCTTAATGCAGGTATTCTACGAACTGGTAAAGAAAAATAAAGTACTGTAATAGGCACATATTTCTTTCCCCTGGAATCAAGTAATTGTTAGAGAAACATAACATGTTGAATTATATATTGCTAAATTTTTAGAAGCAATTACAGTGACTTCAATTTCAGTTTGACAATAACGGATTTGTCAATTTCCTTCACTGTCTTCATGTGTTCAGAATCTGGTCATGAGCATTCATGTTTGTATTTGAATTTTTTTATTAACAAAATGTCTAAGGATGGATGTTTTTCATTTCAAGGTACCTCCCTCTGCAAAAAAACCCCAACAGATGAGCCCTGTGTTCAGGTCCCTCAAAGCAGTTTGTCTTAAAGCACTCGTGTGTTCATATTATTTTTTTTTAATTAGAAAAATATAGGGCTAATTTTGTGTGTGTAGATCAAATGCTGAATGGACTGACTACTAGGTGAGATCTGCCTGAAAGGTTTTGTTCTTGAGATATTTCCAGAGAAAGTTTGTGTGTCAGATAAAGTATATTAAAATATTTTGAATGACTTCCCGTGTTAGTCAAAATAGCCAGGGTTTGGACCTGGCAGAGAGTGGAAAACGGAAGCAGTAGCAGGCAAAGCAAAGCAGGAAGGGGAAGCCAGCAGTGCTGTGTCAAGTACATGGCAGGCGGTTTGGCTGCCCTCTAGGGCTTTCATACAGGTCCCACCGAAGTCAGTGTGGCTATTTGCCAGTTCCTTGGGTGAGAACATGTCCCACTGCACTGTCCTACCTATCAGTGCTGCTAGGTGTGAGTCCTGCAGCTGAGGACTGATCTAGATCAAAGTATTCGACTCGCAGGTAGTCTAGGGGGAAGTGTAATCCTGGAGGGGATTCTTAGACCAAGATCTGCAAAAGCAATTGGCAGCAGAGCTGGATAGCACTAGACAATTGACCAAGAATAATCTGAAAATACCTTTTTGTTAGTACTATAAGTTTCTCATCCTTCATGAAGGGACACCGTGTGTATGTTGCAAAGAGGGGCCCTTGTGAAGACAACAGAACTGACTAGAGATCAGGTGTTGCCATGGGAGTCTATGGTAAAACTCCACTGACTCCACAGGGCAAGAACTAAGCCCAGCACAGCTTCTGTTTTACTAAGATGCTGAATTTCCTATAATGATACACTGATCTAAAAACTTATCATAAAGAATGCACCTTGAAATACTCAATAAGCGCCTTTGAATACTTGACTGCATGGTCTCTCTTGAGTCGGAACATCCTCCAGTACAGAAGGGCCAGGCAGCGGTAACTAGAACAAAAGGGAGAGCAGAAGGTAAAGCGTGCCCCCTGAACAGAAATCCCAATTAATTATCTTAATTTTTCAAACTAACTCAGAGTGGAAGGCTGACAGCACCTTGCTGACTGTTTTTATCACCATTTGTTTACAGTACTTCACACTTTGCCATGGATTCAGGAGCAAGGCTAGGTATTACAGCCAGGACAGGTGCTGACAAATGCTACCAGTGAGGTACTAAACAAACTAGAGTCAGAAGGGTTTGCAGGTTGGCGTTCCCAGGCCTTGACTCTGACTTGAAGTCTGTACACTTGACCAAAGGCCTCTCCTGTGAAACGGTCATCACAGGCCTGGAACCCAACATATGCATTGTTTTCTGTTTTTTTTTGTAAATGTGTCCTGGTTCAGCTAGGATAGGGTTAAGTTTCCCCAGCAGGGGGAAGGGGTCTCCAGCTGGGTTATTCTTACCATGCTGATGTCAGGTGGGAAGCTTTTTCCTTTGTGGCTTTGGTCGCAGGAAGCACGGGGCTGTCTGTAACCATTGCGGTATTTCTCTGTATATCTTTTGTCTTGTTTACTGTTATTGTTGTTTATTGTTGTTATCATTGCTACTGTTGTTGTTCAGATTGTTTATTACACTGTTGTATTAGATTTCTTCTTATTTTAACCCAGGGTTTGTGCCCTATTTGTGTCCGAGGGTGGGGGAGAGACAACAGCAGCGTTGGTCTCCAGTCCCAGCAGGGCTTAGAACCATCACAAAATGCAAAGGCAGCCTTTTGGGGTATCTTTTCCTGGGCCTTCATTACAACAGCCTGGAGCCTGTGCAACGAACTAGAGTTATAATGGGTATATTTTGTGTATACCCAGTAATCTCTTTCAGCAACTGGAGATAGCTGGGGAAACAGGGAAATCTCAGAGCTGCCCAGATTTCAGTGGCCAAGCTCCTCTGTGGGAAGCCTGTTTTGGAGCCTGGAGATTATTCCTAGGCCACCTGCTGATTTTTTCCCCAGAAGAAACCAGCAGTGGGCTGAAAAACTCAATGTGCTGTACTGGAACTATCTGTCCTCATGCTCCTCATGAGTCTGCAGAGTGCCGCACACCTGTAATGCTATGTAATTAAATAAGAGTAATAGCTATTAACTATAATCATATCTGTCACAGTAACTGATAATCAGCATTTGGGACGCACAAACTCTTTTCTGTGCTATTGGTGTGTACTGGTATCATGTGTACTGGTCTATTTGCTGAACCAAGAGTTATCACCACCTTTTCCCAGCAAGTTTTTTGATCGGCAAGTGTGGGATTGCCCCTCGGTAACACGACTGTCAAGAAAAGTCTGGTGTGTTTTGCTCTTCCTTTGGTAGCAGAGGCCCTACTTTTCAAAAGTCTTTAGTCTCGGAGCCAAGCCGAAGCCCCAGAGGGTGGCTTGAATTTGGAAAGTGCAGAGCGCCCCCCATTTTCCCGCGCCCAGGAGCTGCCCAAACCTCTGGAAAAAAAAAAAAAAAAAA